AACATAATACAATAATATATGTCACATTCCCATTTCTTACACACGCACATTGATTATATTATGAGCATTGGACACTCATAAATCGACGCAAATTTTGATTCATCTTCAGAATTGTTTTTCTTATCTATTCRCCGAAATAATTTCATATATATTTATATTTTGAACATGTTAAATATATGATTAGTAAACAATTTTTATGGGCTACTTCCGCGACACACCGGTTGAGAACCACTGATTATATTTAGGTCATAAAATATTTGCGTGTGTGGTCTTATAACGATTATAATATATAAGTAGATCGTTGTTGTGCAGCGTAAGGTTGGGGAACGAGTGGTAGTGCATATTACGGGAAACGTAACGTAGTGTCAAATGTATCATAGGTCGTTATCGACGCTTAATAATAAAATACTATAAATCAGTGCACCGTATATACGTATACATTAAATATTTAATACACCCTAACACCCTATATTTCTCAACTTGCACCTCCTGGCCACRTATATACAAAAATACTTTAATATGTGTACAGGGTGCATCATCCCGCCGGCCCGTACAATGACGTTTTTAACGAGGAGAAACCTGGAAACGTATAATCACACGTCGCTCTGCCTGTACATGTGGTGAAGTTTTCTTTACAACAGGGCGCACTGCACTATTGTGTTATATTACACTGAGGTGGCGATGTATGTACATACATATATAATGATGGGTAGTGCGGTCGGCAGTCATCACGCGGCGCGCACGGCGTATAACAATCAGTCCAACTCTCGGTGATGCGTACATATAATATAGTTCGATGGCAAATTAACTGTGAAACGCTGCGTGGTTTATTATTATTATTATTACTTTTTTTTTATTTTACTTCAACCTCGACCAATTAGTGACGATCGACTAACTCGCCGTTGTCGTCATCACCGTCGTGAAAATGGAAGGGAAACTGAAAAAAAGAGAGAGAGAAATAAATGATATATATATTATGGCGAGGGAAAAAAGAGTGGTGGGAGACACGAACGTGTTCACCTCGTCTTCGTCGTCGGAGGGCTGGGCCCGAAGAGGCGGTTGAGACGGAAATAAATGAAAAATTAGCCGATGAAAAGTTTGTCGAATCATCGAACGTCGGCGGACGATAACGGCGACGACGTGGAGAGGGCAAAACCGATTCTTCAGGTCGTCGAATTAATTACGTCATTAGACATGATTGTCACGTTTCCGTGCGTGGGCGTTCAAAGGGAATACGATTTCTTGGATTTATATTATCATGTATATATATATATATCGGACGAGGACGATTTCCAGTCGAAGATGGTCGTTTAACGCGTGGTGGCGGAGGGTTCGAATGCGAAAGAAACTCGGCGATTGAGAAAAATGTTTTTGCACTCTTCCTCGCGTGTACATATATTTTTTTTATTTTTTTCCTACTTTCTCGTTCGTTCCGCTAAACTTTCTTCGATCAAAAGGACTTTAATTAAACGAAAATCGAAAAGTTGCCGTTTCTTTTCTCGTCCCACTAAATTCGGCCAATAAATTTTCCGCATAACTGCACGTCACCTTATAATCACGTGCTCGCCCGCGGTTCGCCAACGTATATAAAAATATTATGTATATTATACGCTCTATGCGTTTATATTTTTTTTCCCATTCAGTTTTATTGATGACTCGAACTACATTATGTTATTATAATGTTCACGAGAGGATTCCGAAAGAAAAAATATATATAATGCCAATTTACCAATTACGCCTACTGCTTCTTGTTGAATACATCGCGCGGTCCACGAGTAATATATTATACGCATTGTACTATATATATATATATATTGATACTCGAGTGTTTATTTTTGTTTAAGACGGAATGTCCTAACCCCCCACAAGTGCGTCCGGTTAAAAATGTACAGCTGGCGATTTTTTAGTGTGTTTAAAACACTTTGACTGTTGATCATTGTTGTTTTTTTCTTAATCACTGCAATTAGGCACCGTCATAAGATATGTATAATATACATCAATTTATTCTCTTGAACAAATCTCTGAGAATCCTGTAAAGTTCTCAAGTACCTTTAAAGAAACATATTGTATTATATTAATCACATATGGAACACGGGCAATTTATCTCATCATTTTTAACCATACCTACTTGTTCTATTATTACCATACACTAATTATATAATTATAGTAAACTGTATACGGTACACACTAATAATAAAATTAATACATTGTATAGTATATGTTCTATATATWACTATAATATAGGCCTAAAATCAATGATAACCAGAACGTTACAACTGCTTATCCACATAAGTTGTACTTAAGTATTACTTATATATTAATTATACTGTTCAAATTAAAGAAAATACGTAAATCRATAAGCTCTAATTTTAACAAATTACAAAAGAGATATTGAAAACTTAAGTAGGTTTATAGGTTAGGCACTTTTTAGACAAAAAATGTTATGATAAAAAGTACATGGTTTATGTAACTTTAGTGCATCTATATTATGTTATATGTTTATGCTGGAAACAGTATACCTACTGTTTACGTAAACATATATTCATCGAAACCGTAGAACACAGAAAGTACCCTTTGACTAAATCGTTCTCCTTTATATAAAACGATAGACATACGGTAGTTGAGCAATTGATTTTTATACTATAAATATACAAAATATATATTGTTTTATAATTTTATGCATTCAGTAAAATAAAGTATAGCACTATAACTGTATAACTATATAATATTATTATTTATTGAAATAGAGTGTGAGATTAGGTTTTCAATACATCTTATTATAATTAATGTTTTATCATGATATACCTAATAAATRTATATAGGTATTTTAATTATTTGACAGAGTATTTGTGTGTTTAAATATTTCTTGACACGACTACACGAGCATTAGAATATAATAAGAGTAGTTTAAAAATACGAAAAATTAATAATGTATATTATTGTATTAAGTTATAAACTAATAATAATGACGAAGAAATTTCAAAAATCTGATTAGCTATCGAGTTTTGATAACATTGTAATGATTTCCTTACTATAATTTTAGTATAGTAAAAAATTTTTTATATTTTGTATGCTTAAGTGT